ACAAACAAACAAAAAAAGACACCTAACCCTCAACAACACCTATATTATTTTTCTTAATGACCCAATGACCCACAATGACCCATCACCTCTGCAATGCACTGCAGCATTTTCTAACCAATCACTTACAACCAATTACCCAAAAACCTCTAGGAGAAGAACATGAAGAAGAAAGAAGAAGGGACAAGGGACAACACCCTAAATCCTCCATCTTGTCTCCTATTCTCTAAACTAACTTTTTCACCCAGTGATTTAAAAAAACTTTCTAATATACACACTTACACTTTTAGCTTTTTCTATCTAACTTTAACATTTGTTTTCATGTTTCGTCATGAAAACATGCTCATGAATTTCATATTATATGAAATTCAGTGTTTTTCTAGATCTTATAGCTAAGTATCAGAAACAAGGGCACACACTTTGTATTCCAGACTCCAACATTACCAAAAGAATTTTGAAGGCTGTAAAGCAGTGGGGAAGGATACGTTTTTTGACCCTTTATTTTTAAGCTGCCCCCGGGATAATTCCACAAGTAAGACACATGTTGTCCGAGACTATCAGTGGAAATGGCAACACCAGAATGGAACTCGAACCCTTTTCAGTAAGTTCTGGACCAGATCTAATAAAACAGATGTGGGATGTGATTGCAAGTGGAAACCTCATGTAGGAGCTTGGAAATGTCAATATTGTGATTCTTATGGTGAGGCAACTATTGTTGGTGGACCACTAGGCCCTGGAAGCAAATTGTATTTTGACCCAGCAGATGATGATGAAAATTAGAAAGGTCCCTTTGCTAATGGGACCTGGGCTCTAAAGGGGCATTACTGGATTTGTGGCCAAAATGCTTACCGCAGGCTACCCCCAAACTGGTCAGGGATATGTTATGTGGGGTATATTAGAGCATTGTTCTTTCTGCTACCACAGGTTCAAGGAAATCAGCTAGTATATGACGATATAATTAGTATATGATTGTTGTGAATTCATGTTGTAAATATTGGCTTTTCACAATTATTCTGATAAATATATATTATATGCTTTCACTATATTCTTTTCTCTCTTAGCAAGTTATAGGCTTAGATAGGAATTCTGAATGGTAAGGATATGTTTCATCCGGACAAGGCAAGACAATGGGAGGATCAAGCTGTGGAAAACAGGCTATTATCAGCAGCAGGAAATGGAGAGCAAACTGTTATCAAAAAGCCGGTACCAGGACGTGGGCAGGGGGGAAAGATAAGCTCAGCTGCCCTCAGAAGAAGGATGAGGGGCCCAGACCCTTATCAACAACTGACCATCTGCAGAAAAAAGGAAACCAGACTCCAAAAGAATGCTGACCAGCTAGAATAATGATGACTAGCAAAAAAATTATGCTGACCAGCAGAAAATGAGACTGTGCAAGAGCATGATCCAAGAAGGCGGAACCAGGGAGGGGACATGCTTGAATATGCATTAACCCCTCACAGCAAGGATGGGATAAAAGGGGTA